TGAACCAGCAGCTACCTTGGGGAGAAGGGGTGGATATCAATCCTATCCTTAGGTTTACACGCCCTTTTCAGACCACTTGTAGGCCTGATGCTTTCATTCAGGAAAACCCCACCCAATCCCAAGAGCCCAAATTCAGTATACATGAGGGAGAGGGACAGTCTTTCTGTTTTCAAACATGAGGGAGTTTGGGGTTCACTTGGCTCAGCTACCCTTGCAGCTTGACTGAGGCCTATCTCCCAGTAAAATTCCACAAGGACTGGTCTGTAATTTACTCTAAATTAGAAAAAATGCCAGCCACTCTCCTCAAACCTGTGTCATTTGAAGCTCTTTGGGACTCCAGTGGTCCATTACTTCATTGTGTGATGTCCTGATGCTATATATTTGAAGAAACATTTGGATGGAATATTTCCCGCCCCACAAACAATCAAATAAATGCACCATTAAGTTATCTCCTTGGCAGTGAGAGTCACCTTGAAGCTGCAAACCAGGTTGAAAGCCAGTCTCCCTAATGGCCCCTCTGTCAGTCGATGAAGTGCTGCAGCAAAAAGATGCTGTTGTGTATTGTACTTGACCCATGAGATGTTCCCCAAGAGTGTTGACTTCAAGATGAATTCTGTGGAAATATAGTGAAGAGCATCATGGTTCTTGGTGGGACTGAGGGGTTGAAAAGGTGCCAAGAGATGACTGCACTTTAGTCACAAAAGGTACAGAGCTTAAGGTGACTGGGAACTTTAGCTCTGGCATTACAGAGTAGAGATACCAGATGTATGAGAGATTTGAGCACTGAAAATTCACATTTAATGTTAAGATTCTTTCTAAACTCAATGTACAAATATTCATTTGGACCTGGGGCTTTGTCATCTCCTACAGAGGCAGGGGCTGAACTTCTGACCTACAAAGACAGTCTTCTCTTCAGTTCTGATTTTGATAAATGCTTGACAGATACATAACAGTATTTTTGAAAGTCATTCAAAAGTCAGCAGTGACGCTTTTCATTACAGAAAGAGAAATACTTTGTGTGGAGTGACACCAAAAAACTTGGTGCTCACTGACTCACTGTAGTGGAGGGTTGTTTAGTTCCTTTCGTGTTCTATTTCTCAGTGTGCAACAAGGTGGGTGGAAAAAACTCTTTAGTCTTCCCTGTTTGAAAAATTCAGTATATTGAACAAAGGCAGCCCACCCCGTTTTAGAACTCTTTCTCTACACTTAATGTAAGCTCTCTACACTTAATGTAAAGTACTACATGAGAGACAGGGAGATGTCAAGTGATACTAGGGTCAAGCAGAATTCATGAGTCATTGTAATCTTGATAAGAAAACAAAATGAAGGAACAGCCATGGCGGTTTGTGCAGAGCTGTTAACATATCCATTCTTTCTTTATTACCCCCCTTTACTTCAGAAAACCCAACTGTAAGACCATTTACAGGGGGAGTGCAGCTTCAGTGGCAATTTGTCCTGCCCATACAGAAAGAACGAGAAGAACAAGGCAAATCAGTGCTCTTCCTCCCTTGTCACAATCAGAGTATAGGATGCATGTTTTGGATGGCTCACCTTTAACCTATTTTGTGCTGCTATTATGATTAATTGTGTAGTCTTGTTATATTTCAGTTGTAAAATGATTTGATATAAAGTGACTCTGAAACATGGAGTGATGAAGCACTCTCATTAAGACATCCATAAATGTTTAGCCTTTGAGGGCTAGTTTGGAACGGAATCAGCTGGCTACAGTTCTGTTCTTTAAAGAAAGGGGTTATTTTTGTTCTCAGACAATTGGTGTGACTTTCATGCTGTATCAGAAGATTTAGATAAATGCAAAGATGGTTTTGGAGACCACCTTTCTCTTATTCTTGAAGTTCAAATTTATCTGGTATTCAGGCTTAAATTTATCACTTACAGAGGACCTCACTTTCTTATGATCTGACAGTAGGGCACATCCCTACACCCAGCAGCAAACAGTGCACAAAGCAAGTTCATGCAGCCAAAGGTGAGGAAAGTCCAGCTTCAGAAAGCTCAATACAAACTCTTATTTGCATAGCTTCTGTTTTGAAACTGCTGCTCTGTCTAAAAGTGTGTGCATCCTCCTTTTATCCTCTGTAGCCTGACGGCATCTCACTTATCTCTGCAATGGAGATTGTGCCCATGGAGAAAGAGCCACTTTTATTACAAAGCTGTCGATTACCAGCTACAGCACCCAAAATATGAAATGAAAAGAAATGCATAATTTATCAGCGTGTGAAGATTTGAAGCCTGAGGAAGTACAAAATCATTAGTACGAACTGCTGTGAACTATAAGGGCACAAAGGCTGCAGCTGCTGATGTTAAGGGTAATCTGAAAGGATACAAAGCAATGCTAATCTAGCTCCTGATAGAATGTGAATAACTGTGGAAAATTGGAAGTTGGTATCTTTAATGAAGCTTTAAATATATGAATGAAGGTAAAAACATTTTTCTGTGAATGGTTTATTTCTAAAACTATTTTATGCTTTGTTTAGTTTTGTTATTCTTGTTTGTTAGTTAAACAAAACAAAATGAAACCATGTTTTAGATATTCCATGGATGAATGCTCTGAACTAAAATTTGAATTCATAAGTGGTGAATAATAAAAAATCCCCAGTTATTTACTATTGGAAATAAATCAGACTCTTGCAAAATATGGGCTCAAGCACTGCTCAGCAATGACAAAAAAATCCCTTTGTTATCCACACTTTTTTCAGCACAAATCCAAAACATAGTCCCATGCTAGCTATTATGAAAAAAGTTTAACTCTATCCCAGCCAAAACCATTGTAGTATCTTTAGATACTCAAGATATCAGCACAGAGCTGCCAGATATGACCACAAGAAAATTTGGTTTTATGGAGCCACTCTGCATTGATATGCATCCTTTGTTTTCATATTTAGACATTGATATTGCAATCATTTATACACATGGATGTCTGTAAATGTTACCAGAATTATTTACTATTCCAAGAAGTCTCATGGATGTTAAGAACAAAAAAGACTGAAAACTTGGGGTCTGGTTTTTAAAATTTCCCATAGCAAGAAATCACAACAAGAAAAAAAAATGGTTGATGGATGTCAATAAATTAAGACCATTTTAAAAAGAGAAAAGGTGTCCAAGTGAAAACACCATGTATTTATTAAGCTGGACATAGGCTTCTGGTGAGTTTGTGAGTCTGTTGACCATTGTGGTTTCCAGCTCAGTGCACTGTTCCACGCATCAAAACTGTGATACCCATAATAGGTGAATCTGGGGGCTCACTTGCTTTTGTCACAATTTGTCATCCATTTCCTTGCTTCTGACTTCATGAATGCTCTTATGTAATGTCACATGTTCTTCAAAGTGACATGATTGTTCTTGGGCATTACTTTGTCTATCCACTACTCCTTCATTTTTTAATGGAAATGAAACTGTGAAAAATATTATTTTCTCTCCTGCCCATCATTAATATCCAGTTCTCATTTTTGAGTATTGATATATAAACTCTTGTATGCTTAGGAAAATACAGCATCACTCTTATACTGCTCCAGTCCAAAAGTTCCTTTTTATCCTTATCCTAAAAATGCCGTTGTAGAGGCCCTTAACTTCAAATCTCTTCACTAGTTTTGGTTTTTTCCTTGCATTCTCTGCCAGTGGAGTTTTTTGATTATACTGGGAAGGTGCCTTACTTTGCCCTTTTCCACTGAGACTGCATATCCTATTGAAGAGACTGAAGAAATGCTAAGAATAAAGAATAAAACTTAAAATACGTTTTTCTTCTTCTGATTCATTACTCCCAAAAGTGGGATCTTTCCACCTTCCTTTTCACTAACCTGGTTTTGGCTTACTCAAAGACTCTGAAGACTCCAACAGGGTACATCTTCAGTTCCAGAGAAAGGCAGTACCTTTTTTGTAGTGTCCAATAGCAAAGGAATTTGCTCAGCCTCTGAGAGTTTCTGGAGATGCTCTGGTAGATTAAAAGTAGGGACAATTGTTGCCAAGATAATTTATGAAAGTTTGCTTCTTTAAAGTTAGACTTTAGCAACAGCTGAGTAAATCATAATTGACTCTGAAATATTTTTCTTCACGGTTTTCTGTAGACAGTGTAAATGTTACCAAGCTGGTGTGGTAGCAGCTGCCCTCAAGGCATTTTATAAGATTTAATACCTTTGGACATAAAGCCCCATGGGTTTCTTTACATTTTTCACCTTCAATTTTTCTATAAATAATGACCTTTCTCTTCTCATTTTCATGCAACTGCAGCCAACCCTGGACAGCTGTTCAAGGCAGACATCATTTGATGACTAAAAAAATACCAAAAGAAGTTTAAATGCAATGATGTATAAAGATCAATCATCACATATGTAAACCCTGTCACAAATATATGTACATATTCTGCCCTGAAAGGATTTTCCTGTGGAGCTATGTATGTGAAAAAAGGCATTTGAGTCATAACATGGTACAGAGTATCAAAGACCTGTGTTAGTTTGACAAGACTGTAAAAATGCAGAACAATATCAAAGGTCTACTCTTTCAGTTAAAAAAAAATCAACAACAAAATAAGTGAAAGAAAGGTAGAAATCATAAAGATATGACATTAAAAATTGACACAGAAAGCCATGAGAAATACAGTATTTTTTGGAAGGGGCCCTGTACAGTTGTTAAACCTGGGAAACAACCATTTATTATAGATATTACAAAAAATGCTAAAAAGATGTGATGAAGGAAAAGATAAATTTTTAATGGGTTTAATATTAATTTAAAGATAAATAAACTTTAGATTTGATATTAAGAATTCCTTATCGTTTTGAAACATTCTCCTGTGTGAAGCATAGTTAAAAATGGTCTGCAATTAGGAACCAAGGGCAGATCACAATGGCTGCATTCAGAAGAAATACATTCTATATAATAAAGCACAAAAATATATACAATGGTAACTAATCAAACTGTGTGGTGGTTACTTGGTTACTGACTCAGAACTGATCTCATATCCATGAGATTTCATTTGGAAGTCAGTGCTAAGGTACTGCTGACTTACAGCAGGCAACATGCATTTATTTAGAGAATGGTGACAATATATTGAACACCCAAACCCTTTATCTCCCAGACAATTCTTTAATACCAGGAGATTCCTGATACACAAGAGAAGAAGCTATGGTGAGTACCTTCCTCTGTCTGATTCTCCTTTACTACTAATCTTGAATTTGGAATGAGAGAACAAAGGTGATCTTAATTTTTATTTTTGTTTTGTAAATTCTGTAGAGGAGAGGCTGCTAAGCATTGAGATGTGCAGGAGTAAGAGCATTGCAATGATTATTCCAGTGCTTTTTTTTGGTGTTTTCCATGAAGGAGGAAATCACCAGTGTGATTTCCTTCCTTCCTTCCTTCCTTCCTTCCTTCCTTCCTTCCTTCCTTCCTTCCTTCCTTCCTTCCTTTCTT